GACTTGGCGTGAGTGAATGATTTTCTTTAACATTGCGATAGGGAATACAGTAGTAAAAATCCAGTTTCTCGTCTCTTTTTTTTTTTTTTAACCCGCGTGAGTGAATGATTTTCTTTAACATTGCGATAGCGAATACAGTAGTAAAAATCCAGTTTCCCGTCTTTTTTTTTTTGACACCGCGATTTCAATTTTTTGGGAAATGAGTATCAATTTGGGAGTGGTTATCTGTTATCACACTTGCGGCATCGGTGGAAGAATCATGAATCCGTTCTGAAAACATTTCAGTGTTTCATCAAGTCTCATTTACAAAGGGTGCAGTAAGTCGTGATTCATTTTCCAGGGAGGTATTCGGGATTTTCAATTGAGAGAATGTCTTCACGTAAACTTCTTGATCCAATCCGATTGTGGGCCGATGAGAACTCCAATTGTATAATCTGTGGCTTGACAGGATATGGTTCCCGGTATGTAAGTCATGATCGCTATTAGTTGGTTATTGTATACCACAGGTCCACCTAAATCTCCCTGTGTAATAAAATGAGGTTAAAAATCAATAAGACATGAATTAAAATCCATTGGGTCCGATGCGTCTAATTAATGACTTGTTTTGGACGGGGAAAAAAATTCTAGCAGAGCGTGGTTTCAATACATGGACCTCTGGGTTATGGGCTCAGCACGCTTCCACTGCACCACTCTGCTACTTGTGGAACTGGTGCTACTGAGCACCGTATTTATTCACCTGGTTACATTTTTCATTTGAATTGTACAACAGTTCAAAAAAGCATTTAAATATTTTGTTCGTTACTTACAAAGCACGCAGATTGCTTGGTTGTGGTACGGGATGGCGTCAAGCAAAGTCGTCTGGTTGTTTTCTCCACAGTCATTCCACAATAGGCAACATTGGTCACTTCCATGGTACCATAATGCAAAGTGTCGGTGGATAATGCTGTAAATTGTAAATTTTGCGTAATTGTCTTGCATTTAAACTTGTCCGGGGGTTTGAAGCACAGGTATTCCGGCGTATAATTGAGTCTACTACTAATTCAAACTTACCTCCTGCGTTTGAATCAATAACTCCCCATCCGGAAACTGAAACCACGGTTCCTGACGGGAATGAAGTCGCACTGGA